TTTTTTTTTTTTTGTGTTGAGGGGGGGTGGTTCTGTTGCTGCTGCTGCTGTTGCTGCTGTTGCTGCTGTTGCTGCTGCTGCTGCTGTTGCTGCTGCTGCTGTTGCTGCTGCTGTTCCTGCTGCTGCTGTTGATGTAGTTGCATGAAGGCTGGAGTGTCTGCACTGACTTCTCTATCCACCAAAAACTTTAGGGTTTAGGGTTTAGGGTTTAGGGTTTAGGGTTTAGGGTTTATGGTGTGTGGTTTAGTATGTATTATGCATTCTGTATTATTTATAGTGTATTATATATTGTATATTGTTTAGTATCTATTTAGGGTTTAGGGTTTAGGGTTTAGGGTTTTAGGTATAGGGTTTAGGGTTTAGGTTTTAGGGTCTAGGGTTTTATGTTTAGGGTTTAGGGTTTAGGGTTTAGGGTTTAGGGTTTAGGGTTTAGGGTTTAGGGTTTAGGGTTTTTTTCAAGCAGAAGACGGCATACGAGATACATCGGTGACTGGAGTTCAGACGTGTGCTCTTCCGATCTTTTAGGGTTTAGGGTTTAGGGTTTAGGGTTTTAGGTATAGGGTTTAGGGTTTAGGGTTTAGGGTTTAGGGTTTAGGGTTTAGGGTTTAGGGTTTAGGGTTTAGGGTTTAGGGTTTGGGGTTTAGGGTTTAGGGTTTAGGGTCTGGGTTTAGGGTCTTGGGTTTAGGGTTGAGGGTTTGGGGTCTAGGGTCTAGGGTTTAGGGTTTAGGGTTTAGGGTTTAGGGTTTAGGGTTTACAGAGTGTTTGGGTTGTTTCTGTGCAAGGGTTTATGGATTCGGATATCTAGGGTTTAGGGTTTAGGGTTTCTATTCAACTCTCCCTCTCCCTCTTTCTCTCCCTCTCTCTCTCTCTCAAATAAAAATATAAATATAAATAAATAAATATATACGTATGTGTGTGTATATATGTATATACAGCTCGTAAAAGACACAGCATAAATATAAATAAATAAATATATATATATGTGTGTATATTTTCAGCCAGTAAAAGACACGGCATCAAAGGGTTTAGTATTATATATATAAATATAAATAAATATATAA